CCTATTCCTTGTTTGATTGTGGGCTCAGGGCAGACTCATTAAGTTCGACGGTCTGTTGAACCTTAGTTACACCCAACTAGTATACATTGAGTGGGTTTATGAGTGGATCAAGCATGGAACAAAGATTACAAGATTTCATTTGAATCATTACTACTAAATTCATAAGTTTATTTATTTAGACTTCTGCTATGAATTGTTTGCGGCATTCTATACTTAAAAACTAATAACCTAGTTTTGCATCTCCCGACTAATAACCATTACTAAAAGACTTGTACTCATTTCGTCTTTAAAATTCTATGACAGAAAGATGCCACCTCGTAGGTCTACTAGACGCACTGGTGGAACTCAAACAAATCCACCACCGCCGCCGCCTCCCCAATATGATCCTGCTATGTTCCAGGCTGCAGTTACGGCCGCAGTGGCAGCTGTTGTGTCCCAAATCAGCATTGATGGTGCCAGGAGGATAGGGAGCGGTACTAATAACTCCACTCAAGGAGATAGCCAAGGGCGTTCGAGAGAGTGTTCCTTCAAAGACTTTACTAATGGCAAACCCGATTCGTTCAATGGAAGCGGGGGAGTCATCGATTTGATGCAGTGGTTCGAGAGGACCGAGTCTGTCTTCGAAATCTGTGCGTGCCCCGAGGCAAACAAAGTCAAATTCGCAGCTCGCACTTTCACCGGCAGGGCCCTTACTTGGTGGAACGGCCACGTAAAATCCTTAACTCTCGCCGTGACTAATTCGATAAGCTGGGAAGATTTGAAAACCATGATGCTGAAGGAGTATTGCCCAAGGGGTGAAGTGCAAAAATTAGAACAAGAACTGTGGAGTCTCAAGATGACGGGCTCTGACCTCACAGCTTACACTGCCCGATTCAATGATCTAGCACTTCTCTGTTCGGCGATGGTCACTCCGAAAAGCAAGAAGGTGGAACGATATCTCTGGGGATTATCTTCCCAGATTCAAAATAGTGTGTTGGCCTCACGACCAACTACTTGCGAGAGTGCCAAGGAGTTGGCACAACAACTCATTGATCATCGGGCCAGCCATGCCACTGTGACAACCACCTCCGAGCAAGCACGACGAGGGAACAACAAGAGGAAGTTCTGGGATAATAAAAAGAAGCAACCATCGCAGGACCCCGCAAAGAAGCAGCAAACTGTTGCCATCCATGCTGCCATTACTCCTTCCACTCCAGCACCACTGAGACAATATGCTGGAACCCTCCCCAAGTGCAACAAGTGCAACTTTCACCACAATGGTCCTTGTCGTGAAATGCACTGCAACCGCTGTAACAAGAAGGGGCATACTGCCCGTTTCTGCAGGGCGTCTGCCCAACTAGCCAACCCGGCCGCCAACGCCGGAGCAAGCCACGCCTGTTACGGTTGCGGGGAGACTGGGCACTACAAGAGGGACTGCCCAAAAGCTAAAAACGCAAACACTGGCGGTGTCGGAAGGATCTTGGCCATAGGGCAAGTAGAAGCAAGGGAGGATCCCGCGGTGGTTATCGGTACATTTCTCCTTAATAACTCATATGCAATCATATTATTCGATAGTGGAGCGGAGAGGAGTTTCGTTAGCCACAAATTCAAACAATTATTAAAACAAAATTCCCCAATCATTAAAAGATACATACGTAGTAGAGATGGCTAATAGAAAAACAGAAAGCACTAACGACATATACTCAGGGTGTACCCTCACTCTAGACAATCACTCATCCAAAATCGATCTATTGTTGGTTTCAATAAAAATCTTCGACATCATCATTGGCATGGATTGATTAAGTTCAAATCGTGCTGACATTTTGTGTTACGAAAGGGTCGTTCGCCTTAATCTGCCGAGTGGCGAAACTCTAGTCGTCTATGGCGACAAACCTATTACAAACCTGCAAATCATCTCTTGCATCAAAGCCCAAAAGTATCTCCGCAAGGAATACCACGCCTTCTTAGCCCACGTTGTGGATAAGAAACAAGAGGTGAAAAACATCAAGGACATTTCGGAGGTCTGTAATTTCTCTGACGTATTCCCGGAAGACCTTCCCGGAGTTCCACCCGCACGACAAGTCGAATTTCGAATCGACCTAATCCCCGGAGCTACCCCCGTAGCCAAAGCGCCCTACCGTCTAGCGCCAACCGAGATGCAAGAACTATCTAGCCAACTAAACGAACTGCTGAACCAAGGGTTCATTAGACCCAGCTTCTCGCCTTGGGGAGCACCAGTTCTGTTTGTGAAGTAGAAGGATGGATCGTTTCGCATGTGCATCGACTACTGCGAGCTGAATAAGCTTACCATCAAAAACCGATACCCTTTACCCCAAATCGACGACCTATTTGACCAACACCAAGGAGCATCTTACTTCTCAAAGATCGATCTGAGATCGGGATACCATCAACTACGGGTTCAGGAGGAGGATGTCCCCAAAACGGCGTTCAGAACTCAGTATGATCACTACGAGTTTGTAGTAATGCCCTTCGGATTAACAAACGCACCCGCAGTGTTCATGGATCTAATGAACCGGGTGTGTTGGCCTTACCTAGACAAGTTCGTGATTGTCCTCATAGACGACATTCTGGTCTATTCTAGGAGTAAGGAAGAGCATAGCCAACATCTACGACAGGTATTGAAAACTCTAAGGGCGGAGAAATTGTATGCAAAATTTTCGAAATGTGAATTTTGGATCCGAGAAGTGGGTTTCCTCGGTCATGTGGTTAGCGAGAAAGGGATACACGTGGATCCCTCCAAAATCAAGGCGATTGAGAACTGGTCAGCACCAAGGACGCCTACAGAAATCCGCCAATTCTTAGGCCTCGCTGGCTACTACCGAAGGTTCATCCAGAACTTCTCCACGATTGCCAAACCACTTACCACCCTGACCCAAAAGAGTGTGACTTTCAGCTGGGGAGAGAAACAAGAAACCGCTTTCCAAACATTAAAGCAGGCCCTGTGCAGCGCCCCGATTTTATCCCTGCCCGAGGGAACCGAAGACTTTGTGGTCTACTGCGACGCATCAAACCAGGGTCTGGGGTGTGTATTAATGCAACGAGGAAAGGTCATTGCGAATGCATCGAGGCAATTAAAAACGCACGATGTCAACTATGCCACACATGACCTCGAATTGGGAGCAGTAGTATTTGTCCTAAAGATCTGGAGGCACTACCTTTACGGAACAAAGTGAACCATCTTTACCGATCACAAAAGCCTTCAGCACATCCTCAATCAAAAAGAGCTCAACATGAGGCAGAGACAATGGGTAGAATTACTGAATGATTACGAGTGTGAGATTCGTTATCACCCAGGCAAGGCCAACGTGGTAGCTGACGCCTTAAGTCGAAAAGAATACTCGGGTCGCCGAGTAAAGTCATTAACCATGACAATCCATTCGCACCTGTCCATGCAAATCAAAGTGGCCCAACTGGAAGCTTTAAAGCCTGAGAATGTGACGAGTGAGGCATTAAGAGGAATGGATAAGAATCTAGAAGTCAAGGACGACGAAGCTCGTTATCTCATGAACCGAATTTGGACACCGAAATTCGGCGGGTTCAGGGACGTCGTCCTGAATGAAGCACACAAAACTCGATACTCCGTACATCCCGGTTCAGACAAGATGTACCTGGACCTAAAGAAACTCTACTGGTGGCCGAACATTAAAGTCGAGATCGCTACCTTCGTGAGCAAGTGTCTGACTTGCGCCAAGGTTAAGGTAGAGTACCAAAAGCCTTCGGGCTTACTACAGCAACCTGCGATACCCGAATGAAAGTGGGAACGAATAACCATGGATTTCATAACCAAACTGCCTAAGACAAAGTGTGATTTCACCTCCGCCACAGAAAAGGTTTTTACTCAAACACTACACGTAAACTCGTTAACGTAAGTTGTGAGACAATTCTTCAAATGTACTCTTAGAGTACGGGCTAAAAATTCCTGTAAGTTATAACCAGAATCTCTTGTAGGGAGAACGTGATAATTGTGTATAGATCTATATTGGGATTGACACCCCACACCTTGCTGCTAGCTACCGCTGGACCTGCAGGTCTACGGGTGACAAAAGTCATAGGATCTTGACGTTTGAAAAACGTTGTAACAGGTTCATTCTAGTTATAGTATGGTTATGGCGACTCACATAGGGAGTTAACAACATTTCAAGTTTACGGGAAAATACTACCTTACAAAAAGGGATTTTATATATCTAAAACTGCATACTCTCAGTCTTGGGATTTAAGACTACACGACTTTGTATAAGGAAAATATTGGATTTTTCTTGAGTATTCATTTACATTTACAAACAAAGGTTTTTCCAACATTTCATCTAAAAGCTTATGAACTCACCAACTTAATTGTTGACACTCTTTCAAAACTACTCGTATTCTCAGGAAACCAGTGAAACAGGTAATCAACTGCTTTTGAGGATGGGACGCGAGACGTCAATTTATACATTTTTGTCATCATAATGTAATTGATTTTGAAACATGTAAACTCATACTATGGTGTAACTTTTTCAATTATATTTATGATGGTTGTATTTACTATGAGCACTATTATACTCATTGTTGTGATAATATAAATGAAGTCCTCCACCCCCGGATGTTTCCGCCATCCTTGGTTCGGGGGTGTGACATCAGGAACAAAGCGTTAGTGTTTGTGGAGCAATTATTATGATTATGAGATGAGATCATCTTGTAGTGCAAGTAATTATTCCTTAATGTTGGAAATTTTGACCTATGATCCTCTAAAATTTGAAGATTGTGATTATGGTAGGATCTTTCGATCTTGATCTGCTCTTACGATCACAAATTCACAATCTTACAAAGTAAAAACAATCTCATGTAAGATCTATGTGCATGACTCATTTACAAAATTTGTTTTATGTTTTTCAAGTTTGATCAATATTTTTTTAGTTTATGAACTTTATAAATTGTTTTCCAATGTAAAGATGTGTTAAAGATTAATTCAACCAAATTTCGAAACCACATATACATAATATAGATAGATATGAAATTATATTTCCACAAACACACATCCAACACAATACAATTCACTCGAATCATTGCCTATTTCACATTGAAAGACACTTCGTGTCACTTCACTTGTTCGCGTTAGTTGAACCGCATCAGTTCAGTTCAACCAGCCTTTTCTTTGGGTACTTGGTTCAAGGACCACTTGAACCAAGGGACCCACACAGACGTCCTCTTTTGGTACATCTTATACGCCTCAACCCTATACTCCAATTTCAACATCTTTCTTTCAACAAGAATGGTCACATAAGCCAAACACAAGCTATTAACCAATGCACCAACAAAAGACCAAGTAAACCCTAAGTTCCATCCAAAAATTCCCAAACCCCACCACCATAATTGCTCACCAAAGTAATTTGGGTGTCTTGAGTAGTACCATAACCCTTCATCAAGATTTGCCACCATTGGCTTTCCTTCCTCTTTTAGTTTCTCATTTTTTGTCACAAATGTGTGAAGTTGTGTATCGGCAAAATAGGCGATAATTATGCCACTTAGGCATACGAATATGGCGACTATGTCCCATATGTTACATGGCTTGTTTACAGTGTGGATAATGTATATGGGTAGACATACGCCGATAAGGAATACCTATGTAATGTAGTAGAAGGTTAATTAATTGATAAAAATTACTTGTTTGTGAATAACTATCGTGTTGAACTATCAATATCAATGTGTGCATTTTAAAACTAAAAAGTAGCATGGTTATAAATTTATAGAAAATCGAATAGGTAACATATATTAAAGAATCAAATTATAAGGAAGTAATGATCATTTCAATAAATCATATATTAAAGAACTTGGTTTGCAAAGGCATCACTTTTGCCCTTTCAAATTGAGGACCATTTGAAATGCAAAGTGTGTGTTTTGCGATAACATGTTCGACAAAGAATAAATTATAACTTGTCATTTAAATATAATTATTAATTTGTTTGATATATTAACTTAATGTTATATAAATATTTTTTACATTAAAAATATTTAGTTTATATCTTACTAATATTTATTTTATTTACTTCCATATTGTAAAATAAATTAATAGAATACAATGATATAAAATAATTAACGTACTTTGAAAATAGACATTAAAATCAATGGAAATATAAATAACAGTGAACCTGCTTTAACCTGATGCAAGTAATTGATAAGATGCATAAATAAAACTTCATCATGAAATATTTATTGTTATTAAATTATTATATATTCAATAATTATCTATTAATAAACTTATAAATTACTATATTCGTGTTGACATTTTATTAAATATTTACTAATTATAAATAATTAAAGTGTTTGTTAAAAGGTACATAAGATTTTGATTTTGAAAGAATGTTATGACGGTAATTATAAAAGCTTTATGCCATACTATCTACTATCATTGGACTTGGTGGTTAATTTGTATTTTTTATATATTTTATTTATAGTGAAGCTAATGTACAATTTTAATCTATTTTAATATACGATATCGAAATTGATATTTACGACATCTTAAACCCAAAACTAAATCCTATTTTTACATCATTTCCAATGCCATTTTGCTTCAATTTAATATTATTTTAATTTATACATGTTCTTTAATATTATTGTATAGTTCTAATTATCAATATAATATTTTTTTACTTGTAGTATCATGGTATATATTAAATTAATTCAAATCAATCATGTAAAAATAATTTATTTGATTATAATTATGTGATAATTTACAAAGTTATAATAAAATTTTGTATAAAACAAATCTCTAAAAACTAATAAATAAACTTTTTATTATCTAACACAAAAAATAATGCACTAGGATTATATATTTTGCTGTAAAAAACACAAATTTGTAAAAAATGATCTAAAGAATCCATTTTATAACCACCATTTTGAATTTCGTTGGTGTTCATCATGGATCGAGATCTGTGAGTCAACTATCAACCACAAAATGACAAAAGTCAAAATTAATCGTTTATACCTGTTGAATGAGGTAAACAGCAAAGAATGAAATCCACCACCAGTTTTTCCCATATTGTTGAGCCATATCAGTGAACCTCCAATCTTCTCTAGCACCCCATTGCCACTTTTCTCGCCGGAAATAGTTATGAGTCAACCTCACCGCCCAAACCCACGTCAGCGCCACCGCAACTCTCGACCTCCATAAGTCAAATTGCGAAGCAGGGTGAGTCTGAAAGTAATGCAATAGCATCACCGGAATCACAGTCCAGTACACATCTATCATCTACAAAACCATAGAAATGTAAAATTGTCAGAAACAGATGAGCAATTGAGTGAATTGGGATTTAGGAATTAGGATCGAAGGATGAATTGAAAGAGGGGTTGATTAATTACCCAATTGCTGGATTGGATGAGGCTGATGGCCCAGAAAAGGACATCGATGTTGAGGAAGAAGAGGACGTTGGCTAGGAGGAGAGGGTGGTGGTTGCACCATGAGGAAATTGGGGAGAGAAGGGGGTGGTTGTTGAGGAAGGAAGTGTAGAAGAGTATTGAAGGAAGAGGAGTTAGAAATGCAATCAAAGCGTTTTTTAAATTTGTTCCCATTTTGTCTGATCGAATCGAACCACAGTTGCTGTTTGCCCTAGTGGTCTATTCCTCTTATATACTACTTCGGACTCCCTCCTAGAGTCCTAGATAATATTTGGTATTTTATAATTCGACAAAAAGTTGAATTTTTTTTAAGTAATTATGTTTTATTTTTTAATTGATATAACAATTTATTTCAATGAAGAAATATGTATGTGACAATGATTTTTTTCAAAACTCAAATTATACACCATTTAACATGTTATTGATTGAAACGATAATTATATCAGGTTATACGGTGTTGAGAGCTTTTCACCCAAGGTAGTCCGATGTGGACTCCTTTACCGGTGGTGAACACCGCCCCCCACCCTTAATTTTACCGACGTACCGGTGGTGGGTTTCCATTGATGGTGAAATTCGAAAAAAGTGAGCGTTAGGGAAGGAATGGACCGTAACGGCTTTGTGATCGATTTTTTTTAAATTTTTTTTTTTTTTACAAATTTACCACTATATATATACACATATTTATCATTCATTTCAAAACACACACACAATCAAAATGACTCCTACTAATCCAAAATGCTTCCAACCCATTTACACTTTTCGGTTACGATCCGACATCACCACCACCTTATCGGCAACAAATGGATCCATCAAGTTAATCTCAAAACTAAATGTTTGTAGGTGGTGTTCCTGGCTATTATTCATAATTCTAAATCTCACAACAATTCAAATTTTAATCCCCACCACCATGAACAACATCCTAAACCCAAACGTAAACCTAATTCCAATTTTAATCTCAACAACTTTTCACACCCGCAACCGAAAATCTTTCTGATTCTGAGCCCGAAGAATAACCTCAACAGAAAAAGGGAAGGTCGATCCGAGAAGATGGAGTAAAAAAGAAGAGACGGAATTAGCAAAGGTATGGGTCGACATATCTAAAGATAGCAACATGGGAAATGGCCAATTGCGTGATCAATTTTGGTTATGTGTTACAGAGCGGTCTTGTAAGAGTATGGGTCGAGATCCAGATTACCTGACGTCCGACCAATGTAACTCGAAATGGAATCTTGTTAACAAACTCGTGACACATTGGAACAGAATTTACACAAACTTTGAAAAGCAATGGGCTAGCGGAGAAAGTGAAGCGAAATTGTTGAAAAAAACACACGCGGTATTTCATAGTAGGGGTTGCATGATAATAGAAAAAATAAAAATATTAAAAAAATTCGAAAAATTTTCCACTACGGTCGGAAAAGCGAGGGGTTGCCGGTGCCACCGGTGATCCCCCTAAATCCGCCTCTGTATTCCAAGATGACATGTTAAAGCCTTTTAAGTTCATTCATGTGTGAGAAGTTGTCAAAAGAAGCATTAGATGGAATGAGCTTGCAACACATGAATACATTGCTAATCCGCCAAAAAGAAGTCGAACATCTTCATATTCGAGCTCACAACAAATGTCATCGGATGGTCACATGGACATTGATCTTAATGATGATAACGACGACATCGAAGAAATATGCCCGCCTCCTCGTCTCATGGGAAGGGACAAAGCAAAAGCTTGAGCAAAAGGAAAAGGAAAAGTGACATCGTCAAATTCGTCAGTCGGAACGGAGCGGTCAACTAGATCGGAGGAAATGATGACACAAATGGTTTAATTGAATACAACTTTGGAGAAGCATATGACTGAAACCGTCCGACTCACATAATATTCGTTGTTAAGGCAAGATGTGAGGTACCTCGACCCCAAAGATCAGGAGGCGGCTAAAGCAAAGAAGACGTCGATTCACAAAAAATATAATCTAAAACGCAAATGATATTTCGATGTTATGTTTTTTTTTCTATTTTTTTTACTACTTGTTTTTTTAGGTTTTTAATGTAATTTTTTTAGGATCTCTAATTTTTAATTTTAGTAAGGTTTTTATTTAAAGAGTTTTTAATTTTTTATTGAAATTAAAAAAAAAATTCATAGGTAAAACTATCACGACACTCTAATTTATAGATAAAAATTATAAAAAATATAAAAGCTGATAAGACGCCTATGTAGCACAATTTTACCATTGACAAAAACATCACCATACCATTTAGCCTAGGGGCGCCTATGTTGCACACTTTTACCATTGACAAAAACACCACCACACCCTTTAGCCTAGGGGCTGATTATATTAAAAGAAAACTTTATATTTTTTTATATTATTTACTTAAATTTAAAAAAGTTATTTAAAAGAAAACTTTATACTATTTTTACGTTTTTCGATTTAGCTTTTTTAGTATGTCTAACAGTAATCTTTCGAATTACCGAAAAAAAAATTATAAAAACCCTACCTTTTTTCTTCTTAAAAAAACCTTATATTTGACAAAAAAAAATTAAATATATAGTTTGTACCAAAGTTTTCGTTTTTGGCTCATGATACTCTTGTTTTTGTTATTGCTATTTAGTATTTATGATATTTCTTATGATTTTAACATTAAAATCCTAAAGTGATAACTGAATATTTTTTAAAACTAGGAGAATTGTTGTTTTGTTCGGTTATCTATTTGTAAGAAATTTAGAGATAATAGTATGTGTCGAACAAAAGTTTAAACTTATCTCATATTGTTTTCAAAATCAAAATAAAAAAATAAAATAAAATAAACTTTCAATCATTTTGTTAAATTTAGAATCTAATTTCAACTTTCATGTTTTCACCGTTAAATACATTTTCAATCCCAAAAGTAATTTGATCCGTTTTATAACAATTTCCATCATTCATAGTCATTTTAGTAATAGCATACGCTACAAATTTGATAAGCGTTGCATTATTATTAAATTTCAAATAAATTGTAACAACCAACAATTTGAACACAAAGTACATCCAGTTTTCTTTTACAGAGAACACAATTGTAGGTGTACATTTATATTAACTTGTAGTATATAAGAAGTTACGAAAAGATCATTTACAAAAAAATATAACCAATGGTCGAGCCAGGTATTACAATTGATTTACAACAAAACACAAAACTATATAGTGACCATGAGGTCTTCTATCTCTCAACTATGAACTTATCCCTATCGGGGTTACTAGATCTTGAAAGGCATCACAACAAAAAAGGTAAGGTATACAAGCTTAGTGAGTAACCTTATAATCATACGCAATAATATCAACAATAATTTATCATGAAGAATAAATGGATAACCAAATAAGCATTATTACAATAATCCTTTCAACATAATTCAACAACTTTTAATAGTGTTTCTTTTCATTTAGACTTATTGTAAACACTCGTTAATGGTTCTCGTCTTTTAGACTCACCGTGAAAATTCACTAATGGTTCTTGTCATTAGACTCACCATAAATATTCATTATGGTTCTTGTCATTTAGACTAACCATGAACACTGACTAATGGTTCCTTTCATTAAGACTCACCATAAACATTCTTCCCATCCCATTGATATCTACTTCACATGAATTAGTCATAACAACATAACTATATATCAATGTCAAAAAAGGGAATATATGGTTACTCACCTTGTGATGTTATATGTAGTTGATTTCCTGGGTCTTGGAGTTTCCTATCACCTTTTCCCAAAGCTATTAAAAGCCCCATAATAGTCGAGTATTAGAACTCAATAACACCATAAATTCCTTAACACATATTTGTCTTCATAATATCCCTCAGTCATCTTCATTCCCCATTAAACATTTTCATGACATGAATTTGAACTAGCTAGTTTATTCCTTTAAACATTCATTTACATTAAATAATATGTAAACATGTTTGTTTTCATGTTTTTAACCACTTGCTCCAAGCTAGCGTTTGACCCATCATCTTAAATTTCACCATAATAAATATTTCAAGTGATTACTTGGAAGTTTAAAACCAGTAACAAGTGTTATACACCATAATTTTCCTTATATAACAACACATGGAAACTAGGGTTCTTAGTCCCCTTCTAATTTCAGTTATCAATAGAGAACTAACAAGAGAGAAAACAAACATACCTTGTTTCAAGTGAAGATGAAAAGTTTATTATAATTCCCTTGATTTCTCCTTCAATTCAACTCAAATGAGTGGTCTAGACCTTCTAGAAGTATTTTTCCTTTGCTACCTTATATGAAAGATGTAGAGGACTCGAATACGGTCGTGTATTCCAAAACATGATCTCGTTTGGGCCAATTATGCCAAGAATAGCAATGTACTTCATTAAAACTCATTTGTACCCTATTTTAGGATCCCAACACCAGAGCATAGTTGTGTTTTCTAAATCATGGTCATGTTTTGATTAAAAATGCATATTTAGGAAGTAATATCTGTTGGGATATGGTGCCTATAGTCACAACAGTTAGTAATATTACTATTAATAGTATGGCCCTTTTAGGTTACACACAAGGACAAAAATTAGCAACTGATGACATGGGAAAATTATAGGGACATGATTTGTTAATTCATTAATAATTTAATTAATTCAATGAAATATGGAGTTTTATAATGTTCCAGCTAAAGGATATGGAAAGTCGGATAATTACCAAATATATAGATAATTATCTTGTTACCTTATATTTATCTTTTAAGGGTTTAAATTTTCCTTATAAATAGAGGGGTACTAGGTCGAAACTAAGAGAGATTTTTACAAACTTTAGCCTAAAATTTGGTAGCCTCCTCTCATTCTCGAAACCCTAAATTCCGGATAATTGTGGATCACGGCACGATTCCGTTGTTGTTCGGTTTTCTGCATTGTGTTCAAGTTGTTCACTGATCGGGGTGTTTGTTGGAAGTTGTTGATCTGCTCCTTGGGTGTAACTACGAAAGAGGAGCTCTTCATTTTAATCGTCTAAAGAGGTATATATTATTTTCCTTCTCACTATCTAAGTCTTATCCTTGTGATCCTATCTTCCCTTCTTGTAGCACGGTTTCTGCTACCTGAACCTGCAAAACATAAACATCTATGCAACATCACACATAAGGTGTCTGGTGAGTTATTTTCTTATCCTTTTTTAACTTTCTATTTCTCATACTCTATCATCTAAAGGTGTAACATCCGGATTTTCAGGTA